GTCGCTAGCACGCATTCCGGACGGCAGACTCATACGACTGCTAGCTGGCAGGGTTCTCAGAGGATCGAAGGCTGGGTAGGGAGTCTCTAGGGTGCTGGCATCGAAATCGGCATCAACCAGGGCTGCACGTACCTTGTCCACGCAGAAGAGCAGCTCCTCGGGAATGGCCAGTTCCGTGGGATAGCTAGAAGTGGTATACATAGGGGATCAGACCCAGTTCGAAAAGAAAATAGAGGAAAGATGGAAATTGAGGCCTATAAACAGGACGAATTACATGTAAGTAAAACTGGACACCACGTTCCCTACATTACAGGCGGAGTAAGTCTGACCTTTCCATCTCCCGAGACATTACCCTGCTAACCTTGAGTAAAGTGTTGGGAATGAAGCTCTACAGACTCCGTCCGAAAGCTGATTCAAATAATTGGGTCAACATTTATCAGCTTCTGTGGCATAACCACGTAATATACATCAACGGTCAAGATGCAGCAAGTAATACAAGGGAACATGCGAGTCCCGGGAAGTAAGTGAGAAGAATTGATCGCTGGACAAGACTTTCGACATTCGTCGCGGATCTTTTAGCATTAGACATTATCAGAAACAGTAGCAGAAATGGGTGAGGGGGGAGCGTACGGGTAAGGGGGGAGTCAACAGATACTGCTACTGTTCTTGATAGTGTCTCTAATGAGGGATCCGCGATGGATTTAAAAACGTCAGGCGAAATACATCTTTGGGCTTTTGGGAGGTACCTGTGAGGAGGCGCCTAACAGGCAGATAACATGCAGCAAGCAGCCGCGCTCACAACAGGCTATCGATCGGCCTACATGAGGCGAACGCATACTGGCCGTCAATAAATCAATAATTTAATATTCAAGCTGCAGTCCGCCGTCAAGCCACCAGCCAATCATGCCGCTAGCTAAGCCAGAACAGAAGCTGATTGGCTCGATTTATTTAGCTTACACTCATTTGTTGCCCTAAATATGTCGTACCTTTTACACTCAAAGACTTCTGATTTTGCCCTCTTCTTGTCGTGCTCTTTCTTGGGGGGTTTAAGCAAGAAGTAATTACGTGGAGACATCTCGGCATTGGCAACCGTTACAACAGTACCTGTCTACCCTAATACTAATCTGACAGATATCGCAAGTTGGCAGAGCCTCGGAGTTAGCGTAAATGTGGATGTTTCACTGAGAAACATTCCAAGGTACATGAGTACGCCGAGAACGCGGTTGGCACTTCAACGGACTATTCGCCTCATCAAAGACCTGCAGTAGATGTAATAGCTCACCGAAATTCTGAAATATATTTTCTTTTAGAAAAGATCCCTTAAGTATGACTGCAATATTTACTGTTGTATAGCCTTATCCCAAGATGTGTTAGTCACAACAGGACTTCGTTGCGGCTGCCTGCAACAAATGCCAATGTCAGTAGTCTGCATTTTTCCCTGGAATTTCGATGCCCCTATAAATTCCATCATACCTTAGCGAGCACATGCACAAAAACATTCCTTCTTGTGCACATTCGTTATCGAATTGCGACTTCCTCCAACTCTACACTTGGACAAGGGATTGCTTTGAATTTTAACAAAGTTTCTAACTGCGAAAGGTCCATATATGAAACATCGAACCTACGAACTTGTTAATGTTGTTTATAATGTGCGCAACATGGCCCACATCCATTGCCAGTTTTTCTCAGTACTATGTAACTTATTTTTCATAGCCTGCAGAAATGCGCCGTTTGGAAACCCTGGATGCAAGTCTAACACGACAGATCGGTTTCAAAATTATTCAGCAATTGGCTAAATAGTTTCAAGGCCGCAACATACAATTTCGTCAAGTATACAATTCAAAGAAGGCATGATTTGATGCCAAATTAGCACATTTGTGCATTTTTTCGGCCGATTAATCATTACGTCAGAGTCATCCTTAGTGTCCCATATATGAAGGGTTTTCGAGAAGATATTCAAATGAACCTGTCCGTCCCGCTGGAAATTTAGAAATTATTCACGTGGAAGGGGGCAGATGATAGCCTCTGACAGGATATCCTGTACAAAGGCTAGAAAACGCAGCAGAAAAAAGAGAGAGAGGATGAGATGTGCACACATACGTGTCCTGGGTGTTTTTGCGGTTGAAGGCGACCTCAGGGAGGAGGTAGGGTGCGGTCTCCTGGCGTCGATTGATAACCTGGGTGAGGGAATTGGAAGTTTTAGACTTAAGCTAGCAACTTACACCCCCTCCGCCCTCACACATACACATATATGTGTTATCGCTTAATATGACTAGAACAGCTGTGCAACCCAAGTACCTATGCTATGCGTAAAACGTGCGGCAAGCGAAAACCCACGGTCCGCCCCAACAACTGTGGAGTTCTCCAGGGGTCTATATTATTTCCTCACCTCTTCTCCCTCCAGACTGACGACCTACGATCGCCAAACGAATTTTTGTTTGTTAAATATGCTGATGATATGGTTGTTGGCCATCCTCTCAAAAGTCAAATGCATCTCCAAGTACTGAAGGATGGCCCGGACCACGTCTCAGCATAGTCGTCAGCAAATGGCCTTCTACTAAACGACCGGAAGTCAGTCCAGTATATTTTTCGACGGCAACTTTCTCCTAGTCCTGAGATCATTGACATTCTACCCAACGAGGTATCCTCTTTCCGGTCAGATATGCGTACGTGACAGAGTAGAATAAAGCAACGGCGGGATTGATTAGATAATCAAGTAAACGCGGCTAAAATTGGTTGAAGGAGGCAGTTGAAAGAGCCTCCGTTTATCGACGTATTGCGTTCCGTGTGTCAGTACAGCCTAAAAGCAGAACTTCTGCTAGAGTCAGCTGCACGATGACGACCACCATGAAGTTGGTTTTTTTTAACTTTCCTATTCCTCCTACGTGCTGTCTTCTATTAATTAAATTCTCATTCGACATTTTGACAACCGCGATGACGGTGCCTATCAATCAATTACTTTAACTGCACATCTTGTGATTCAGAGTCGCGCGGTCCAACAGAGGTGTTCGAAAAAAGGCCACTCCCTCCTTCAAAAGAGAGAGAAAAAAAGCGAGACTTGCACTCACCTCTTCCACATGTGGTACCAGTGGCGGCAGGGGTGCCAGGGGTACGACAATGGACATGACACAGGCGAGGATGGCATGCACAGCACACAGGTGCGGCAGAGGCAAATTGCCAATGGTGATGGCATCCTTTTGTACCGCAAGAACAAGACGAAGCAGTTCCACAATGACCTGAGGGAGGAAGTGCGAAAACAAATGTGATCAAAAAAACAAGAAATCATTGGTGACAGTGGTGATGATGGCAGTTCGACCGTCGGTTTCGATTAAGTCCACTATATGCCCAAGAGCAAGGATGGTGATTGTAGTCAGGTATAGTGAAAGTAGACGAGCAGCCAGCTACCATGCTCTAAACCCTCTTCTCGCTTGCGCCGGTGATAAGACAGAGCCGAGATGACCGAGCAGAAATCAGGCGTAAACCGCTTTCTCCAGATGCAGCCAGAAACACCGCCTAACTTAGTCTTAAGTGACAGTAGCGTTTTGCGCTGGTACTACTGCACTACCAACCCTCACTCACCTTCAGCAGGTATCCACAAAGACTCTACTATGTATGCTACTGCTTACTAACAATGTAACAAAGGGCGACAGTTTTTCTCCTTAAATCTCTTAAATGGCATTCAAACCCCTAGA